CCTCGTCGACCATATTATTGAAACAGTTAGCAGGACTTTCTGATCAGAATGTCTTATCATGATTTGCTTTTTGTTGATTCATTGCATTTTTCTCTTTTTTTTTCCAAAATGTACACATTATACAATAAATTTATTTTATTTTATTATTATAAAAAAAAAAAAAAAAAAAACAAGCCAAACGGATGACATTCTTTATTAATAATAAATGCTATCATGTAATATCTAATGGCAACTTTTATTATTCGAGTTTTGCTAATTTAAGATTTAACCCGAAACATTACCGTTTGACTGTTCGGGCTGGGTATAATCTTGATCACACGGTCCAATAAATATAGGATTTATCGGGGAAAGTCTCCGGACACCTACCGATTTGCACCTATCTAGTTAGCGTTAGGGTTAGAGTTTTTTTATGATTGGTTGATTTATATTTGGTAGGTGCAAAAATCACGTGTTGGTAGGTGTCCGGAGACTCTCCCGATTTATTGTCCGGAACACGATCTGTCTGTTCGTTCCTGTGATTTTCATATGACTATGATGATATGATGGATTTCTCCGGACTAGAGATGGTGATCGATCCAAATTCTTTTTAATCTTTAATCATATGATCGATCATTCTTTTGGTAGAATATTGAACTAAATTTAACGGTTGATATTTGATTTTTGTTAAAATTGGTCCATTGATATAAATGAAAATAAGTAATTAGCCATGGCGTAATCTATTCTGGGCATACAAGTTGTACATTGCCCAGTGCTAGTAAGATAACTTTTTGGGACAAGCGATTGAATATGTCAACACGTGATAATTATCAATGTTAATGATTTCGTAATATTAAACCTTATCATTATCGTTATCGTTATTGAGGATATTTTTAATATATTTTATTATAGGATCTGCAGATAAGATAAAGCCACAATCAATCAACTCTCCCAACAATCATTTGGACCAATTTTTCTGCCAAAGAAAACCAGTTTTGTTGGAGCATTGCCTGCACCCAAGGTGCAGTAGAATGATATAGAGTATGGTTTTTGTAGAGGTCAACCTATTGCTTCTTATGGGAACTTCTTTATATATTCAACATGCAAGTCAAAAGTGTCATTATATAAGATAACTGGCAAGAAGTTGTGCCCTTGTATATAAAATTTTGATGGAGTAACAAAGTTTCTCTGTTGATAAAGTTACCTATGGCAAAATAGTAGAAAACAACAAACCAAGTTTTTTCAATACTCTCTTTTGAAAATTTTAAAAAACTTGCAATTGAAAATCCTCTTTTTATATTCTTGCTTGGGTTGGATTTTTTTAGAGAATTTTTGCTAAACAAAAAGTGAAAAAACTAGCATACCCTTTTCAAAAGATCTACATTGTCTACCAATTCTGAATTGGGAACAGGAGTCACAAGAAATTACAGATTCAGCAGTCTGAAAACTCTAATTATGGCAGCAAGTGGCTTGAGATACAGTCCTCGCACTGGTCAAAATTAAAACATTCAATAATAATTCAGTAATAATTCAGTAACAATTCAGTAAACATTCAATAACTATTTAGATACCGATTCCTGCCACTCAGCTATCACTTAGCTACCACTCAGTAAAATTCAGTAATATATTACTGAGTGGTAGCTGAGTATTAGCTGAGTAGCAAAAACCAGTATCTGAATAGTTGTTGAATGTTTACTGAATTGTTACTGATTTATTACTGATTTATTACTGATTTATTATTGAATGTTTTAATTTCGGCCAGTGTCGAACGGCAGTAGCACCTAGTTTAAGATACGAATTAGGACAGGCGATAAAGGAATCAAACTGTGTTGTATGAAACAAGAACTAATGTTGACTATTTGGATAATTTTTTATAATAATTCTTGCAAGGCTAACTTTATTTTAAAGATATTTACTTATAATACAAACTAAATCTAGAGTAGAGCTAAATTTAAGAATATTATATAATTTTTCAGCCATGATATACTATATTATTTTGTTAGAATTTTTTTTCTCTTTTGTTTTTTTTTTTTGAAATATATATATTTTTTTATTCTTTTTAGTATTTATTTGAGTTTTTGTTGGTTGTTTTCATTTTGTTTACTTTTTAAATTTCTTTTTTTTTATTTCATATCTCTTAAGAAAAAAGAAAAATTAAAAGAGAAAGAAAAGATCCTGATATAGTATACAACAACCTGTTAATAATTCTTGAAGATAACCTTGTTATTGCAAAATTCAAAAAAAGGTTTGAATCCTGGGAGTAACTAACAGTTGTCATAGCTAGTTATATTGGGCTTAGGCTTGGTGAGTCTTTATTAGTTATGAATATTAGACTATTTTGATATATTATAGCATCATATAGTAGTTCAATCAAATAAATAAAGACAGGATTGCTTAAAAAAAAAAAAAGCCACAATTTATAGATGTTTTTTTTAATATTTACTGCTTATAATAGTAGCTCATGCTAAATAATTAATTATTGTGTAGTTTAATCATGTGATTTGAATACAAAAAGTTTACAGACACTAGAGCAGTAGAATGTATACTAGTAATTGTAAATTTTGAGTTTTTAGTCAATAAAATCAAAAAGAAATAACAAGTTAGATAATTATAGTTATATGCACAAACCAGTTTATTTATTTAACTAATCAATTTTTGTTCACATGTTGTATAAAAGCATAATATAATCCTGGTTACTAGAGATATAGTTATATTAGTGGTAGTATAATATCCAAGTATATATAATGGTATGATTGCTATTTACTCTTAGCTTAATATAATTTAGAATTTTTTAGAATTATTTTTAGGAAACTTTCAGAATCGCAAATAAAACAATTTAATTGGCTAACTCATTTCTATTATTAGTATATATTGATATTATACTAGTATTATATCAATAATATAATATAGCATATTAGCAGATTTTTGAAATTTATTATTAAAAATTTTAAAAATATTTAACAATAAATAACTTTTGATTCACTAATTCGTTTTCAACAAAACAATTACCAAAATTTTTATCTTAGTAAGACAATTCTAATAAATAGAAAATTGCCAAAATTCAATCACAGAATCCTGATATCTTTAATAATTTGTTTCATTTTGGGTGTTTTAGAATTGGTTTAACCAATTTTAAAACATTTAAAGTAATACAAATTTCTATCAATCTTGGAGTTTTGTAATTAGATTTTGACAATTTTTGTACTCATTAGAATTGTCTCAACAAAATGAACATTTTGGTAATTGTTTTATTAAAAACAGACCAGTAGATTAAAAGTTATTCACTCTTAAATATTTTTAGAATTTTTAATAATAAATTTCAAAAATTCACTAATATAGTATAAGTAGAGATTTTATAGTTCTAAAAATAACTGTTAAAAATCTGGTTTAGATAGTAGTATAATATAGATAACCTAGATCAGTTAACTATATTACTTGACTTAATATGCAGAGAACAAGAAATGTATAGAGAAAAAAATGAACTAATACAAGAACTAAAACAAAATACGAAATGAAACACACAAAATCTGAAAAAAAATACTTAAGAATAATAATAAAACTAGATGAAATAATATAATTAAAACACAATAAAGAGGGCCTTTATAACGTAATAGATAAAGGAAAAAAACCAAACAAAAATATAACAAAAACACTATGAAAAAGACCTTCACAATGTAGTAGATAAAGAATAAAAACAAAACAAAAATATAATAAAAACACAATAAAAGAGAGCCTTCACAACATAATAGGTAAAGAGTAAAAACAAAACAAAACAAAACAAAAAATATAAAACAAACACAATAAGAGAAGCTTTCACAACATAATAGGTAAAGAATAAAGACAAAACTAAAACTAAACAAAAATATAATGAAAACACAATAAAAAGAACCTTTACAATATAATAGGTAGAGGATAAAAATATACACAATGTAGTGGATGTATAGTCAAATAAAGAACAAGACCTGGAGGTAGAAATATAAGCTAAAGAAAGGGCTTTAAAATAAAAAAAAACTTTTAATAAAAGCTTAGATAGAAGAATCTAACCTGCTTTAAAAAAAAAACAGGGTTTATATAGCTTTTTGACATGCTAAAAATGTGTTATTGTTACTTTAGAGACATATCAAGATACTATATACCAATATACTATAGTAAGGTACTATGATAAAGTACTATATTAAAGTACTATAATAAAGTACTATAATAATGTACTATGATTATAATAAGGTACTATAATAAGGTATTATGTAATAAAATACTATGGTAAGGTACTATGGCAAGATACTATAGTAAAGTACTATAGTAAGATACTATAGCAAGATACTATACTAAGATGCTATAATAAAGTACTATAGTAAGATACTATGCTAAGATACTATACTAAGGTACTATACTAAGGTACTATGCTAAAATATTATGCTAAAGTACTATAATAAAATATTATAGTAAGGTACTATAGTAAAGTACTATAGTAAGGTACTATAGTAAAGTACTATAGTAAGATACTATACTAAAGTACTATACTAAAGTACTATGCTAAGATACTATACTAAAGTACTATAATAAGATACTATAATAAGGTAGTATAGTTAGGCACATTACCAAAAATAGAAAATCTATTCTAGAATAATTCGTAAAATTTGATAAAATTTGATTGGCGCATACTTGCCTTATCAGGTTTTTTTCAGCTCAAGATTGTGGCGCTTTACAGTTTTTAGTCATAGTCAATTGCGATATATAATTATTCAAACCAAAAGTAAAAGACCTCTAGTTTTGTAATCTTTTATGATCTTTTCGTGATCAGCACTTTGTAAAAAGTAGACAAGGTCTAAAATTTTTAAAAAATTCCAGGTTAAATTCAATAAAATACTTTTTTTTTTACATAACTGCCTATTAGAACCACTAGAACTTTAGAATTTAACATGTCGTGACACTCAGTAGCTCAACAAAAATCAAAAGCTGAGGATCTTTCTTATTTTTTTTTACAATAGCTCGTAAATACAAGAATTTTGGCTTAAGTCCTTGTAATGAAAGAAGATCACAGACACGGTGAAAGGCTAATGGCCCAAAAGCAACTGAGCGGCTTGCATTATATCATAATTTTATACCAAAGCTTGTTAATCTTTCTTTGGATTCTCATTCTGTTTGTCAAACACATTATAACTTATGATGTTTTTTATCGAAATCTTTTAGGTAATTCTGATTTAGATCGCACAAGTCATGAAAATAAGAGATCTCGAATTGACTCTAGTTCTACTTCTGAAGGAATAATTGCCGAGAATAAAGGTCAAACAGAAGATAATGAGTATATATTCTTTATTACTAATACTATTTCTGAATTGCAGTAGCAAGTAGAAGATCAAAGCTAGAAATATTGGAATTAAAAAAACGAATAAATGAGTATTGTGAAGAAATAATTCAATTAAAAGGATCATATCAAGAAAAATATAAAGAAAATGAGGAACTTATTAAACAATGGAATTCTCGGAATTGCGATCAGCATAAGTGCATTTAAGAAGTTGTTAATATTGCATTACTTGAGCATAACTTTTTATATGAAGATATTAATTTTCTTATTAGAGATAACAATAGGTTTTCTTTAGAAAACTTATTAAGTTATACACCGCAAATATGGCTAAATAAACGTAATCAAATTATTGTAAAGTTTATTAAAACACTAATCTATAATAATCTTAATATAGATTCTCTAAGTGCTGAAAGATTTTCAAAAGAGCGATGGCCATTGATTTAATTTATGGATCCAGGCATGGAAAATACGTATCAAAAATAAATCTTGCAGCATCTGCTATAAAATACTCTATTGCAAGATCTAAAACTATTATTAATATTGACAATCATATCTTATGTTTGGGGAGTTATACTCATTTCCAAAGATGGTTGGATGAATTGTCAGAAAAAGAAGAAGCATTACCTCAAGGGCTTTTATTTATAGCATTTGATAACGAACAGAAAGGGCAGAGAAACTACCTTGATCGAGATCAAATACAGTAACATATAATACTGTTACTAGTTTTGTTGCTTTTAGAAAGTTTTATTCAATATACTAATATATCTTGGTTATCTAATTTTGAAATTAGGTCTCAATGCAAAAACATTTTTACAATTACAGTTGAAATGCAGAATGCAATAAATAAAGAATTATATAATTATATTTCTGAAATTTTAAGCTTGTTACCTAAAGAGAAGTTATCCACTACTAATAATATAAATATTCTTGTTTCTAATATAGGATCAAATAATCGTTTTTTTTTTTTTTTTGAGTTAAGGAGACCTCTTTGGCCTGAAAGCTTTTATTAGGATTTGAAACGGTGTTTTATAC